GTGCTAATTTAAAATGAATATTCTTTATAGCTACATTATTTTTTACTACAGCCCAGATCATTTCTATTGGATTTAAGTCTGGGTGGTATGGTGGTAATCTCAAAACTGTATGACCGTGTTCGGAGAATAATCTATCAAATTTGTATTGCTTGAATATATTTTTATGCTGTTTGATTAATGTGTACAGCTGTGGTTGTAATAAGGAAGGTTGAAATTCAATATTGGTGGACGTCAACCAGTTTATCATTTCAGCTTTTCTTGAATTTGAATTCGAAGCAGGATTTTCTATAACATTGTGATACGGTGCATTATCTACAACTACAATAGCATTTGGTGGTAAATTTGATATTAACAGTTCTCCTAGCCACTTTTCATAATTTTCTTGATTCATATCAATATGATAATCACCAGATTTGGACCCAGAATCAAACATTAATAAACTGTTAGGAATAAAGCACGATGACGTCACTCGCCAGTGCGGAGATCGAGGCGTGCAGCGATCCTCGTTTTGGCTATGGATTTCATCGTCCCGTCGAGTAAAATAGTTATACATATAGACTATACAAAATGACACACTACAGACAAGGACAACACTGGTTTTTCAAAGTTTTTCCTAGGGAAGACATTCACAAGTAAATTCCTACAAAAACTAACATTAAACTCAACTACCGATCACAAACTCGAGAATATTTCCATATAATATCGTATGATAAGGAGATGGCGCGTAAAAATTCATAAATTTTATAAATTGGGTAATGGTATTACGGGCTAGGGCGTCGCGCTCAAGCAGCCGGACATCCGAAAATGCTTCGACTCGTAGTTCGCGAGTGTGAAATATATTTTTGTTTAAATCATATCTAATCACTATTGTACATAGCTCTAATGTAAATAAAGAGATTGTTAAAGAAAGAAGGTGTCGAATAAACCGTCAAGAACCTTTTTTTTTTTTCAAAAATGGTTTTACAAAAACCGACTATATTAAATACCTTATACCACAATCATACTGATCTTTAGATTGAATACATTTTTCCACTTTTTTTGTGAAAATTAACATTGTAGACAGCAAAAAACAAAATTTCATGCCGCTTTGCCCCACTCTCCTCTGCTATTATCGTTTTCGATTTTTAGTAATACGACTACGTTCATGAATGCTCGTGAATAGTCGATACATTTTCGGATTATTAGCTTAGTTAGGGAAATTTTCAAAGAATAACGGTATTGATAACGTACAACGGGATTTGTAATAAAAATACTATACCAGGTTTTTCTCCAGAATTCAACGAGTTACGAAATAATGAATTTGCTCCCTTCTTTACACCGAATTTATAAATAGGGTTGTAAAATAATGATGTCAATCACCAGTGCGGCTCGTGGTCATAATATTTACTGAGGCAGAAGAATAATCCTTTATAACCTAAACGCTTTTAGTGTTTTGTCCCCAATTTGGTAAAAAAAAACACTTATGGAATCAATTCGATGTGTGCGTTCGTCCGTAGTCTAACATCAAGCACCCGAAGTAGAAATAAATAGTCTCATTTCTACAGTAAAGTGAAGCAATCAGTTTTTTTACGTAGATTAGATTACGAATATGATGATCCGAAAATAGAAATCGGTAGTTTTAATATGGTTACCCTATAAAACAAGCAATTTTTTAGGTTTTTTTTTCTTTTATATTCAGAAAATACGCTTTTTATCCAAAACAATTTCAAACAAAAGTCGTTCAGCTTAAGAACTCCTACAAAAAAGGTCCAGTTAGATCTAAAACTAACGCTAACGGCCCTACGGAGGGTTAAACTTTGCAAACTTTACACATTGAAAATTCAATAAACTTCATAAAATGAAGAACGATGAATATGAATAATGGTGCTTTGAAGTAGGTTGTTAACACAGAACGCAGGCAAAAATATTAATAATTTAAATAAATAATATCTAATAATTAACATTATAACGTGATCTCTAGTGATTCGATCTTTTTTTTCTCCTGGGCTCGTCTGACAATGTGTCTCCGAATAACACTGAAACCTATTGGCTTATTGTGTTTTACCACATGTTAGTTCATAGCACCCACTCTATCACCTTTGTACCTTGTACAAGTTTGTACAGATCCTTGGGTGAGTGGGTTCTATACGTTCTAGTGATCAGGGCCGACTAGAGGGAGGGGGGTAGCCGGGACGAATTCTTGGGGCCCGGGCTTAAATGGGGGCCCGGTAACAGGTTTTTTGTTATGCATGAGAAATTCGACCCAAGATGAGAGAGGGAAGTTAAGTTTAAATTAAAATTAAATACAAGTAGAGGAAAAGTTTTAGCCTAGTGATTTTTTTTTTAAAGAAGAAGTAATTGAAAGGGAAAAGAGTTTATAGTTTTTTTTTAGAAAATTCTTCTATTTCAGTCGAAGAGGAACAGTTTTCTTAAGATTTTTTTGTCACGGGGCCCGATCTAGAGAATTGTCCTGGGGCCCGGCCAGGCTCTCGGCGGCCCTGCTAGTGATTCGATCTACTTTACGATAGATTAAAATCATTTAGTACATCGGATGACCAAGATATATTGAAATTCAAATCAAGTTGATTCGTTGACATCCAAGTCAAAAATAATTCTCACAAGACGAATCAAGGAAGAAGAAAACGACAAATGACATTTGAGTAAGAGATAATTGTGTTGAAATAACGGTTCCAACCGTTACAACATATTAATATAATTAATATCAAAACTAATATAACATAACAAAGATTTTATTTACAATTAAAGTACTACATGTCAAATCGAGGACTTTTCGTTCAGGTCGTTGAACCAAGGAGGATAAATCCGCCTACAATAAGTTTGACTCACACTTTAGTAAATATATTTGCCCTCACTCCTTACCTGTTCGGTATTATTGAGAAATTATGGTTTTGTTAGGGAATCGGTAATGGAAAATGGTTGAGGACTTGTCGCGTTTTAGTTGTGGTTATTTGTCCCATGAAAAAGCTAGAAAAAATTGGGTTTTCCTTGTTTGTGCGTTGGTATAGTCTTTGGTTGTTCGTGCATTTCACAGGCAGAGTGAATGATGGGCCTTCCAACCATGCATCAACCGCGAAATTCTCGATTTCACGCTTACTTACTTAGTTTTAAAATTCTTTATTTACAAATATATTTACAAATGTACATCTACAAAATCAAAAATATGTCAAAGAAAAATCCAGATTGTTCGAGAAGGTTCTAGAAGATTGAGGCGAGCTATATAAGTTGACGACCTGACGTCAGAGTTTCAGTTTTATGATAGACGTTATACGTTAATGTTATCAGTTGTATTGTAATTGTAAAAGTTGTGTTAAAATAAATTGAGATACTAAAAACCTGCTTAACATTTGTTTTTCGTTTTTATTATCTTGATAATGACTGGTGCATTAAAATACTTGATAATCGTAAAATATCTTTTTATATTTATTTAAATATAACCACTTTTCTTTATTTTTTAAAATATTTTTCTAGAGAGGGCCACAGTGAAATTGATATGCAATTACTATCTCCACGTTTGAAAATAGATACTATTTTTGATTCCTTAAATTGTTTAGATACTTTTCCGAACTCGCTTCTATTAATTAGCAATTTGTTAGCTTTAACATTTCGTTGGTAATCCCTTCTAAAGCAGGTGACTTATTATTTTGTAGCTCAGAGATTGTTTTATTTCATTTACGTCAGTGTTTTCCAGGAAAATAGAATGCAAAAACCGTTCTCTATGCTCGTCGATATTTAAAGGGAATTATAAAGTATTACATTTGGTATTTTTCATGATTAAGGGAATTACCCTAATTAAGAGTAGATGTGTATTCGGTGACCGTAACCTATTTCATTTGATAACATCGGTGGTCCTTATTTTATTTCAAGAGAAATAAAATTATTAGAGGTGTTAATTATTAGTATTTTGTGATACGCGTAAACAATACAGAAAAACGCCATTTTTCCAGACTTCCCCGCTCTTAGAGAAAAGAGAATGGCACCATTAATTATGCTCCGGAGTCCTATAAAATCCCATCCTATCCGACAACGAGGATTTTGCGCCATAATTTATTCAAGAGTGTCTTATTAATATTTTTCGATAAATAGCTGTAATGAATATCTCGCTGTAAAGTTTTAATAATTTTCTCTTTTAATAATATTTTACTTTTACATCTTTCGCGAGTAGCTTTTTAATTAGAATTTATTTTCCGATTTTTTGCGTTTTTGTTACTGACATGTTCATTTGTTATAACAGGATTTAAAAAAAAAAATTAAAATAACAGAACAGTAGTTTGCACTGTTGCTGACTAGTTCACCATGGTTCAATTTATTATGAAAATAATGTAATTTTGAATTGATAGTTACACAAATAAACAGACCTTTGCGTTTTAGATATTATTTATAGACTACACCATTCTTGAACAAATATTATATATAATTAATTAATGATGATAATAATAATAATAATAATAGATAACATCAACAACTAAATAATAGCCAGTAAACTATATCACTTTTAACATTCCACATTTAACAGAACTTCTATCGCATATATTAAACGTAATACGAATTATTTAGAGGCTTGATTTTCATACACTCTGTATATATATAGTCTTATTTCTCATAGTTTCTTTGTTTATTAAAATAATTGATGTTTACTTATTTTAAAACAGTCTTCTTTAGAAAAAAAATTGTTGATAATTATTTACTTTAGAACATTAATTAAAAAAGAGACTTATTAAATTTCACATGTCTGTCTCATGCTCCCTTTATCTATCCTGTGGTTTTAAGGTTTTACTTAACCTATTTTCCAAATAGAAAACTTTTAGACTAAATGTAGGAGTTGTTTTAATGAGACGTGGAACATTTAAAAAAAAAAAAAAAAGGAAAACTACGTTAGGACATTTTAATGGTTCTATTCGCCCTTTTAATTTCGAGGCTGCCACTTGGAGCGATTTCTTCTCGTTCGCCTCTAACAAACGGTTCGCTATACTAAAACACACGCTTTTCTCTTTTGTTTTCAGAAACACGGCCCTCGAATGAAGTGCTCCGCTTGCAACATAATTGCTCATCAGAGTTGCATCAGAGTGCTCGTCGACAAGGTTAAGTTTTCTTGTAAACCGACCTTTAGAGATGTGGGCGTTCGGCAATACAGAGAGCAGACAATCGTTCAACATCATTGGGTCCATCGGCGCAGCGAAAAAGGAAAATGCAGAAAATGTAGCAAGGTAAATCGATTTAGTTTTTTATTATTAATAAATAATTTTACGGTACCTGTATCACACGTGACCAAATTGACTTTCACCAGTTGACTAAAGGTATATTTTAAATTTAGATTAAACGAAGCCCATGCATCAACAATAGATATTTTAGGTCGCAGTGTATTAATGCCCCATTCCCAACATAACAGGCCACTATACGTTTTTGTTGGTAGTAGATAACATAAGAATAATATATTGGTAATATTATTTACCCAATAATTTAAAGGTAACACTAAGGTCATGTAATTATAAAATTGTATGCTGGGCGCCTTTATAAAAATAATACGTCAGATAGATATTAAACATCGTACCTAAATCTTACATCTTGTTTAATCGAAATATGTAAATTAAAGCTCTAATTACATATGTATTTATTCGACGGAATTATTAGAGTATACGGTTAACACCCACAGTTCAATTTGAGCTCAAATTTATGCAAGCAAAATGCATTATTCCGGGTTACATTTTCACACCACTACAGTAGAATTATGTCGCAACTACTTCCCAAATTCCTTTTCATCTTCTCCTTTTGTATGTTACGCAAGACTGTATTGAATATGATAGTGTAAGTATAAGTTTCCAATATTTAATAATTTCTCTAAAATATTCTACTTCCGTTTTCCGTTTGAATTTAGTCGCGAACAGTTATTTCCTGCATTTTGTACCGTACAGCTATAAACCAATTTATTTGCGGCTTCCGAGATCGATATTCAATCTGCGGTACACGAGTAAGAAAGTGGTTGCCGTTAGGTCTAATAATTACGTCAAGTACAATATATTATCGATACATTTAATAATTATAGTGTAACGATATTAAAAATTAAACTAGGAATGTTCGATTTTTATCGTTATTAAAAAAATATAAATCAATTAAAAAAAAACTATTATTAATCACAATAAATTAAATCAACCCTTAAGAGCAATCCAGTCCCTTCTGACGTCACACCGTACGAATCTCACGACCTCCCCTTAAAGTATTTGGAACCTTGTTCGCTACATAAATTTGGCAATGTTGTGTGTCGTGCGCTGAAGAATAATCATATTAGGTAGGGTCCGATTACAATTACATGAACACAGGTATGTCATCAATTGGCGAAGTAATTCGTTGACTATCGCCGCCTACTGGGGGTTTAGTGGCTTGTTAATATTATAAGGATGTAGGAATACTATTTTTAAACCAAACAACTCAAATATTTTTTATTTATTGATAGTTATAGATGATATACAGAGTGTCCCGAAATTAGACGGTCATATTTTAACAGCGTAATCTACACCCTAAAATAGTAGTAAAAATTCATATAAACATAGGTCCGAAAACTTTTCTTTTCACCTGTTAAAGGTGAAGTCCTGATACCACACTTTTGTAAATATTTTCTAAACGTTTAAAGATAATTAGGTAAAATTTGGTACAAATACTGATCATCTTCTTAGGTGGGTAGATTAGGGGGAGCTTAGGGTAAAATTGCCTTATCCACCATAACTCATGAACCAATACACAGAAAAACACTAAATTTTAAACGTAAGCTTTATTTCAGCGTTCAATGAAATGATTAGATTTTGAGCAGAGTCGGAACATCTGGAGGGGTACTTTATAGGTGGTCATTTTTATGTTTTATGGAATATATCTGTTATTTACGATTGGAGGAGAACATTCTTCAAATAAAACTTACTTCTAATATTAATTTTTCTAAAATGGTCCGTATTCGAGAAATTTGACAAAATGTAAAAAAAAATTATTTTTTATAAAAATTGTTCAAATAAAAGTTGTTTGAAATATAATTCTCTATAATTTTTATTTTATGCAAAATTTCTCTAAAATGGACCGTATTCGAGATATTTGAGAAAATGTGTAAATTTTGAATTTTGAAGAAAACTCAAAAACGGATAAAGAAAAAAAACATTAAATTTTAAACTTAAATTTTATTTCGGCCTGACATGAAATGATTAGATTTTGGACAAAGTCGGAACATCTGGGGGGGGGGTACTTTATGGGAGGCCGTTTTTATATTTTATGGAATATATCGTTATTTATGGTTGGAGAAGAAAATTGTTCAAATAAAAGTTACTTCTAATATTATTATCTATAATTTTTGCTTTGTCAAAATTTCCTGAAATGGTCCGTATTCGAGAAATTTGACAAAATGTGCGAAATTCTGATTTTTATGAAAATTGTTGAACTAAAAGTTGTTTGCGACATCGATCTCTATAATTTTTGTTTATACATGATTTTTCTAAAATGGACCGTAATGGAAAAATTGTAGGAAAATTGCTAAATTTAAATTTTTCAGTATTTTCTTTGAGTCAACAACAAGGATTTCAAGTTATAATTTTATTTCATAAAAGTTCATCTCGAAAAAAAGTTTTGAAATGAAATAAAGTAAGTGTTGCTAATTTCACCCCCCTATAATGTAACAGAAATATTGAAAAAACACCCGTGGTTAGTCCTTTGCGATTACAGAATTTCAAGTTTCTAGATTTACTGAAATTTTAGAAAAAAAATAAACACTCAATTTTAGTCACCACCTTTTAAGGGTGATATCTCGAAAAGGGGTGGGCTGAGGAAATTTTGTTATAGGAAAGACCCATCTTAATTTCATACGAGCAATCAGCTTCTGAATTTTGTCGCATGTATTTAGAAACACCCTGTATATTACACATTTTTTTAAGCGGGCAAAATTCTTGACAATCTCTTTTCCCTAATTGTCGTATTTCTCTAGGATTTATTAACTCTGGCAGTAAACAAATAAAATAGAAATTTGTCAGCTGTGCATTTTTGCCTTCCAGAATTTTTCATTTCATAAATTAACTAAAAACTAAATTAAACAAAAACCTAACAACGCCTCAACAACAAACTAAGACGATCACAATAATTTCGCACCTCTTCAAAAACAACTACCTATTTTTCGACACAGGAATTGACAAATTTAACTAAACAGCAGCTACCCTTTTAACCACGGGCTTCATAGACTAGCAGCGTTGCCATATTCACTGGTATCATTGTTTTAATAGAATTAGTATCGGAATGAAAACTATGTTAATCTTCAGTCCTGTTTAAAATTGGTAATCTTTTTGAAAAAAAGTTATTTAGAAAATAGTTAAGATATTTGTTATAGAATGACGCTAAAGAGCCAAAAATTTAAATTTGTTAAAAAGTTTTTTTTAACTGCTCAAATGTAAAATTGATTTTTGGCGGAGAAGCGCCTGTCATGTTTGCTCTTAAATGTAGCAAAGTGTTACATCGGAAAATGATGCACAACCTTTCTATATAGTCATTAAAACTCTTATATATCTTATTAAATCATGCACTAGTGATCAAATGATTAAACTAAGACTATGGATTACAATAAAAAGTGTTATAAACTCTATAAATAAACGAAATCGCCTGAAAAATAAATTACTTAACGCTGACGTCACATAAATTTGACGTGTCCTCTAAAAAATGAAAAAAATAATCCCATTCATCATCCTACAATTTCATCATTGAAGACACAAGTGGATGAAGGGCCTATGTAACATTTTTTAAAATGTTTTTTTTTTCTGTGAATGAAGGGCTTATATACCGAAAATTCGTTTAAAATGTCTTCCATGACAATATATCATCAAATACAGAAGTTGCCAGTGGATAAAGGACCCATGTAGTAGGGAATAACAACTGGCAAACAATAAACTTTAACACGAAATATCTCGTAAACATTATTTTGCTACATAGTCCCTTCATCCACTTGTGTCTTCAATTATAATATATTTATTCGTTTCAAAGAAAATATTTTATTGCCAGACTTTGTCGATACCCTGTATATCACCAAGTTATTTTCTGATATTTACATTCCACCATCTGCATGCTTTTGTAGCCTAGTTGAAATTTCTTTGTTTTTCTCTTGATTTCCTTTAAGACATCTCCGAGTAATTGAGTATTCTTCCTTCCTTTTCGCAATTTCAATAAACTCTTTGAATTTCATTTTTTAAATTTAAATTTTTCATTCTTTTATTTAAATCAGGACATAAATGAAAAATTCAATTTATTCAATAAAATTATTCTTTCTTTATTTAATTTACATGATCCCACCTGAATAATAAGAGTCACTCTCAGGAAAGCTCCTAAGGCTCCCTAAAATTATGATGAGGTGCGAGACAATGGTCGTAAAAAATTTAAAATAACGAAATCCAACAAAGATTGGAAATACTGTCAAGGTCTTAGAAACGAAGTTAATCCTGTTTTTAAAAAGGCAAAAAAGGTCTACCTTGAGCTTCAGTTAAATAACAAACAATATTTAGGTATCAATGGCATAAAACAGGCGTTTATGGACCGCAACGTGTAAGTTAGAGCCCGAGTCGCTAGGCGAGGGCTATTAACACATAAGGTCCATAAACGCTGTTTACGCTCGAAATACATACAAAATATTATGCACGACCCTTTTAATGATAATTTATTAACAAATATACAGAGTCTTGCATTAGTGCGTAATTGTTCAATATCTCAATTTGCGTTATAGCCATGTAAAAAAAAATTATATAGATTTGAAAAACACATATTTTTAAAATATTTTTGGATATATAGGGTGTAGCGTTTTTGCCTGGCAAATAAAAATTTATATTTTTTAAATGAAACATCCTGTATTTTATTTTATTTTTAGAATGGTTTAGTAATACTGTATTCAACTCTAAAATATTACAGTTTTGCGAAGCAATAAATTTTATTTTGAAATTAGAGAATAATGCAGACCCAAATTAAATTATAATAATTTAGGTAGGTTTACATTGATTTCAAAATTGATTAATGAACAGACTTATAAGCTACTAAGCTAACAAATAGTGTTTATAGAACTGGTTTGTTTTCTACAGAGTGTTGTGAAAAATGTGTTGCAATTTTGTTTTTTTCGACACGAGTTTCTGTTTTGTTTTTGTTTTGTCCGTTTGATGGAAAACCGCCATTATGTAGTCGTCTCGATACTCATCGGATGAAACACTCTTAAAGTTGCAGTCCTTACTTAATTGCTTCAAGACTTGTAAATAATGATCAACTGTCTCCTCTGGTTGTTGTTTCCACATCATCAAGTTTTTCAACAGACGTAAATAAAATTGTGAAAAGTTGTTTTCCAATAAGTCCATTCTTGAGCAGCTTTGGGGGCGTTTCAGTCGGTATCGAATCTCTCTGGTCTCAGAGGTTTATCCAACACAAAGTTATTAAATTGTTATAATGTGAAAATAGGCTTCAATAAGCAAAATTGAGCATGACACAATTGACAGTGATTAACATTAACATAGATACAATAAACAAGAAATACATAGGATAGTACCACGATACACAGACTAACGGTATGTTCCTGCGCATGCAGCTGACTGACGGTGACCTCACGTGGGACATAGAAGCATTAAATTCGATATTTTTCCAATTTTAGATTTTACGCAGTTACTTAAGCATTATTGGTTATTTTGTAATAAATTCGTTTACAAATATAAAAGTTGAAGGTAAATAATACTAATAAAAATATTAATTTTTCTCATAAATTATAGGTATTTTGTGACAAAATCCATAACTTGTCCATTAGATAAGTAAAAGATATAGACTAAAAATCTGATGTGTCCAACACATGACTTTCCTATCTAGTTATTACAGGCTTTTTCTGGATATTTTGTACAACCTATTGCAGCACCTCTATAAATGTTTAGAGGATAAACTAAATATATACATTTTCCACTTACATCTACCTCGAAACATTTTTCTATAGATATTCATTGAAAACGAAAATATTGAAAAATTTAGATTTAGCACTTTTCCTACAATTTTTCGAAATTTACACATTTTCTCAAATATCTTGAATACGGTCCATTTTAGAGAAATTATGTATAGGATAAAAATTATAGAGAATTGTATTACAAACAACTTTTGTTTGAACAATTTTTATAAAAAAGTATGTTTTGTGTCATTTGTATCCTAATTGACGTTTGATTGGTTTTATTGAATTTATTTTGACTTGCTGGTTCTTTCCCCTCTTATGATAAACTAATTATTTTTTATTGCACCAAACCAGACCTATATTTAATCTTTATAAATACATTTTACTTATATATTTATAAATTTTTACTTTCTGATTCATTCATCTATAATATTTTCAATAAAGATTAGATATAAATCAATAGATATTTTCTTTTAACATTTACCACTCCCTCAATAACACATAAGTAGTCAATAGATAATGAATCTTTTTGTCGGTCACTCGTGGTGTCCAAGTCACTTCATAGTCTTTTCATTTATCATACTTTTATAAGAGAGAGAGATTAGTTGTCTCTTTTTATGTCAGTTGGTTACACTACAATACTTTCCTTATATCTGTATACAGATAGAAAAGTAAAAATTAAATATCCAACTTTCCGCAAGAAACGAAGAAACACAACAAAATAAACATAAATCGAAGTTGATCTAATCTCGGGATAGCAATTGTCGACAATCCATCACTGTTAGTCCATGATCGCTTACGAAAACGAATTACTTTTGTTTCAGTCCTTCCAATCGAAATTATCCTTCAGTTCCAAAGAAATTGTGGCAATCAGTTGTTCCTGGTGTAAAGTCGCCTATCACAATAAAGAATCATGTTTCAATATCAAGCGGATAGGTGAAGAATGTACCTTAGGTGAGTAATCAAATCAATTTTTTTTATCAAATATTTTTACCCAATCCCGATTGTTTACTTTGTGATTGATTTATGTATAGGTACATATTTACAATTCGTTATAACTTTGGTTACTCGATTAACTCGCATAAAACGTGAATTGAGTAAAAGAAAGTAAAATTTATGGATAAAAATTAACTATCCCAGTCGAGAATTTGATTATCATTGCTTTCAGATGCTGTAAAGTTTGTCGGCGCGTGTATTTCTGGTTGGTTAAAACAATAGACGCAAATTTGTCACTTGTAAATATAGACATTGAAAGTCTCATATTTATGGTCAAATTTAATTAAAGAAAAATAATTATGCAAAATAAAAGAAATGGAATGATAAAATATTAAAATATAACCCTTACTCTATTCCTATGGTTATACTGTGCCTGTAGACATATCAAACGAACGTGTGAATTGTATTAGACTGGCAACACTGGTTTGGTAACCTTGTTTGTGAGCGGCGCGCCAATTAATGTGTTCTTTGACAGTTTGAATTATCTGTTGGCGTGTTTTCTTCTCTTTTTAGCTTTATGCAATCGGCATATCGTCTCACTCATGTTAGGCTCACTCATCATAATGCGCCATAGACCAGTGTTACCAGAATATATTTTTGTTATGTACCAGATTTGTCTAAAAAATGTACCAGAATCCATAAAAAATGTATCAGATTCTATAAAATGTACCGGATTTTTCGAATTGTGAAGTTTGGTCATTAAAGAACAAAAAAAGAGAACACGAATACAATAACCAAGGAATACCCCAACAATTAGACAATCCAAAATCACGTGACTTTAACTACTGGACCCTTAGCAAAAACAACAATAGTACGTGCTTCCCTTGTCAAAAACACTTCTAGTGAGGTTTTTAGTCTAAGTTTGTTTTTTTTTTGTGTGTGCTTAGAGTTTTTTTTAGTGTATTTAATTGAAAAATGGCATAATTTAATATCTATTAAGATTATATGAATACTAATTGTATAATTTACAATAACAGTCAAATAAAAGGTGGCGCAAAATAAAGTCCCCTATTTGTTTTTTATATAAAAGTAAGATTAATTAAAAAAGAGTCATATTATAAATGAAAAATATTTATTTAAACTCTAAAAATTTGTTTTGTTACACACTAAAAACAATATCGACTAAATGCAATAATGAGCTCTTCTTAAAGCATTTTTCATAACTTTCTCCAACATTTAAGGTGGCATTCTGTCAATTTCTTCCCGGATGTTGTCTTTTAATGCTTCTAGAGAATTATTTACAAATATCCTATCTTTGAGTAACCCCATAACCAAAAGTCTGGAACAGTTAAATCGGGAGACCTTGGCCGATTAATAATAAATTTCCCAAGTATCTACTTTGCAACTGACAGAAAAACTCGAACAGATGTCAACTACAAACGAAACCATGACAACATTCCATGGGGTACTTGATTTTACGCCACCTTGTACTAATGAAAAAGTCAGGTTAAGGAACTTTGTTATTTTTGCCAAGCATCAACCATTTTTGTCCATTCTGACTGGATATTAGGCATTCCAACGACCTGTCAAACAATAGGTGCCAGTGGGAAATTCTTGTATATTTAAGGGGGTAGCGACATAGTCTTGCAACTTGGACGCTATTTTTATTCGAAGTAGTACTCGCCAAGCCTGCCAATTTATGAAGAAATGTATAGGTGTGTTTTTTAAATATTTTTTTTATTGTTTGACATAAAATATTTAAATGTAATCCATTATTCATGATTTTACGTAAAGTAGATAGAATACACCATATGTCGCTACCCTTATATATACCAAACCTGCCCACTGGTAATTCATTTGTTTGGAATGCCTAATTGGATTGCCTAATTAGGCAGAGGGTTTATAATATATGGCAACCTTGTGGGCCTGGTAATTTGACAGGATCAATGATATAGATAGTTATATGGATTGATCATCCGTGTTTTTCAAAATAAACAAAAGCTTAGCCTTGAAGAAAAAAATGTAAGTAATTATTTTTTCACTATATTTAAAGGCTGAAAATTGGTTTTAAAACATATTCTTGCCAATTTGATTAATGAGCACTTGCGAGGCAATATGGCCGCTCGCAAAACGACTCTCTTTGAGCAATCTGTACAACTATATATCTATCATTGATAGCAAGCCACCGGGTTGCCATATCTAAACTGTCAGTCTCCTGATCTTGTTAGCATTTTGACAGGTCGTTGGAATTTATATTATATTTTACACGTCAAACGGAATCATATGCTAAAAAAAAAGTACTAGATTTAGCTTTGAGTATACTAGAGTACCAGATTCTCATAGAATGTACTATATCTAGTACAATTGTACTAGACTGGCAACACTGCCACAGACACAGTATACTTAGGCCCGTATTAAACAAAACTCAGCTGAGTCGGATTTGGGTAAGTCGTCCTTGAACGAAAATCGAAGTTCGGTTATATCGCGTGAATTTAGAGATGGGTAGTAACAAATTCGTAAATGAACATAACAGTTACAGATTTGCTAATAGCCATCTCTAAATTTCAGTGTAACCCGGAACCACCTCGAACTATAGAGACGTTGTAACCGAACTTCGATTTTAGTTCAAGGACGACTTACCCAAGTCCGACTCACGTAAGTTCTGTTTATAAATACGGGCCTTAGGTATACTGTGACGCGATCAGCCAGAGGACAATGATGTACAAAAAAATATAGATTAACATTAACATGAAAATAAAAATATTAAAATTAAATTTATATTTTTATGTTATTTATGTAATATTAAAATAATGTGTTTTTATTAAATTTAACCGGGTGTTTACTGCACAAATGAACCAATGGAGAAACCGCCCTTGGTCTGCAGTCCAGAAATATTAATAAAGTTATCAATAAAAGTTTGTAGATAGCTTTTACTTGCCTTGTAATACCACTAGTCTTACATTTTGGCTACAGAAAAATGCAACTATTCTTCAAATTATTTTCATTATCCCTCCTGCCAGCATTATCCAGGCTTTGGCTATGTCCGTTTTCAGAAATACAAAATATTTTTTTGATTCAATTTTTATTTTTTAAGCATTTACAGCCTACAAGGAAAACCTGGTAGCTGAAACCTCTGAAATAGTTAATGTTGTGTCATTTCTTATAATAATAATGAATAGAAATGTTCAAAATGCAACAAATATAACATAACCTAACTATTTATTATACCAATTACACTACCTATTTTATTATAAATTTATTTAAAACCTTTTAATTTTCTGATGTCTTCTATTTCAAGTATTACAAAAGTAAAGAAAATAGATTTAATTTACATTTTGCTACTGGAAATTTAAAAAAAATACTTTTTTTGCTAATATTTTCACCATTTACACACGTTTATTTAATTTGTCAAAATTACAAAAATCTTTCTAAAATAATTGAATTATCCGTAGCTTACGCTAGAATGACTTTTGCTCCCCCAATCATGACTTACTGGGCGAACACTTATAGACAACGGCAAGGGTCGAGAATACAATACAACCCTTTGAACACTTCTTGTAGATACTCCACAAATACAGTTTGAAATGTAAGTTGTTTATTTATTTTCTTTCATTGCGTCTTTGAAATCGACATCATTATTCCACAATATTTTATAGAAATACATTTATTTTACTTGCTTTTGCTTCCGCTTTATTACGGTTTCCAATGTAACACCGTAATATTTCGTGTCATGAAACAACAATATATTGTGGCATTTATTTCGGGATTTGTTTGAAAATAAATCTTCAATACAAATGTTTGCCGTTTTCTATACGTTGAACTGCTATATTCTCCAAGCCTTCATTTATTATTATAGACGAGATACCACCTAACATATGTCACTTCTTGGAAACTGTTAAGTTTGTATTGATTATCGTTACGACATATCCTGGTTTGCTTTAAACATTTGTTTGGAAAATGCACCAGTGTGCATTCATTTTGAAACACTGGTAATTTCAAGTGTGACACCTCATATGAATGTTAATTTAATTAGTAATTTAGAGCATCATATACATATGGGTGGCGCTAGAATTTTTTAAGAAGGGGGAAACTTAAATATTTATTGACCTAACATTAAAAGTCTACATTCTTAATATAAGTAATCCGGACCATAATGGTCGTTTGTTTTGTAGATGACTAGTAAATTTGCAAGTTTAACATCCTGTATATCAAAAACTAGTCATAGAATGAAGTTTGAGCAATGGATGCTTTTATTCAGAAATTTACAAACTTAATCTATTTCTTCATAAGGAAAGTGCGAAATCTTTTGTCAGTGAGGGGGCAACGGTCGCCTTTGTCCCCTCCCCTCCTCTCCTGCCGACGCCCATGTCCACAACACTATCCCACAAATGTCTCCTTTTTTCTAACTAAAATTTAGACGTGTTTTATTTTGCCATCTTATAGATTTCCAAGCGCAGAATGCACGTCACGTCGGTATTTAGGGACCGTCGAGACCTTTTTCTATCTAAAATTTGCGCTGATCCTTTCGCATCGTTCCGGTTAGAACCCCTCAAATGACGGGTAATGTTTTAATATTCACCAGATGACGTTAGTGTACAGTAAGGCCTAACAACGATCAGACCAAAAAAGGAATTTGAAAATGTTGATAGTATCATTAGAAAATAAAGCAGGGCTCCTGTAAATTATGTTTTTCTAAACCTTTTAATCCTTCCTGCACGATAAACAGGGTGTTAAAAGAATCATGAAAAGCTTTGTGTGGAAAATACTGTAGAAAAAACTTTATAAAAAATGTAGAACTATGATAGAATTGTTAAATTTATACTGTATTCGTTGTTATATAGGTCCGTATATATTTCATCAAAAGAAAGTGAGAAAACATAGTCCAAAGATAAATACTTAGTTTGTTAACATTCCTAAACAATGTCCTACATCGAGGATCTCCTAACAGTAACAAAATGTTCCAATAATTCAGGACCTGATTGCAGTCCTGTGTGAAATTTTGAGTAGGAAGGTTTTTT